AATCAAAGAGTTTGATTACTGAAAAATCCTTAGATTTTTCTTATAAACCCAGGAGTGTTTTCCTGCAGCAGTATTACAGATTACATTTCCTTTGTTCTACCAGTATCGTAATGGTTCCTTCTATACTTGAGCTTTTAGAAGTTTACTGAGAAAATTAAAGCTAGGTTCCTTAAATTCAGCAACCCATAACTCCATTTGTAACCAGATTTTTAAACCATTGAGATGTAAATCAAGTATCTAAATTTGTAATTGATATTTAATAGAACTCTGTGATTCTCTAAAGAGCCTGTGTTGCATTATGAATCCACTCATTCTTACATTCTGATATGTTGGCTTTAGGTCTACTTGGTCCTTCTTCCCCCTTAGTGCCTTTCCCATGAGGGAATTCTTGTATAAAATCTATACCAGGTCTTCTTAAATTTTTCTACTTGTGACCCCGGGTATATAGGTATATAAAACAGGTATACAAATCAAACATCTGCTGATAATAAATCATAAAGAAATTTATTTTAAAACAATTCTTTGGTATACATATAATTTTACATTTATTAAAGATTAAAGCAAATTTGCATACTAATGAGATAGATGTGCTTACTTATTTTTACATAAAGAATTAAATCTTGGTGGAATATTTGATGCTGCAGGATATAGAGCATCTTCAACTTTTTTTTTTTGTTTCTTTTTTGGTGAGGCAATCAGGGCTAAGTGACTTGCCTAGGGTCACACAGCTAGTAAGTGTCAAATATATGGTCTGAGACCAGATTTGAACTCAGGTCCTCCTGACTCCAGGGCTGGTACTCTAACCCCCTTGCCACCTAGCTGCCCCTATCTTCAACATTTTTTAGAGTTGATTGATATTTTGATTTTATAATCATCAATACTGAGAATGCCACTTTGCATAAATACGTAGTACAAAATGGCAGAAATGTGTTTAGGGCCATTTCAGAAATTGTTGGAAATTCTGTCTTAGTCCCAAGCCAAAATTCATTTAGTGATTTTTTGGGGAAACTCAAGTTTTTAACCTGTGTTGCTTAATAACTCTGCAAGTTCTTCTTGAACTTTTAATGGCAGATGACTGAGGTTTTTTATTTCCATTGAGCATGGTTTATGAACCCAACTTTGTTTTTTAGAATCAAAATTTGAAGGAAGTATTTCTGAAACTGTGTCTCCAGGTACTTCAGCTGATTAATTATAATTCTTACAATTAAATTGTTCAGAAGGTCATTTCCAATTATAAAATCATCTGTAGCTGTAAACATTTCTAAAGAACCATTTTCTACCCTATTCTTCCATATCTTAACATTTTTTAGTAAAACTTTCAATTTTATCTTTTAACATATAAATATGTTACAATTTTTCTCCTTGAAGTGACATGTTTAAGTAATTGAGTTTTTTGAAAATTCAACAAATCAGAGTTTTGAAAGCCATAAGTCATCATGAAAAAATTAACAAAATCAGTTATCTTTCAGTTTTAAAAATCTGTTTAAATTTCACCCTCTTGAGAGACACCTTACTTCTGAATGTAGTAATAAGCTTTTGTCTTTCCAAAGGTTTGAAAACAAATGACTGTTAAGGGCACAGCTTTTAATGAAATTAATGATTTTGATAGTATCACAAAGCACAACATCTAACTCTGGTGATATTTTTTTGTCTATAAGTGCCTCCCAATGGATCATGCAGTGAGTAAAAGTGTTATGTTCATTGCCATTAGCTTTAACTTTTGCTACAAATCCAACATACTTACCCATCATTGCTCCAACACTGTCTGTACAGACTCCAATGCAATTTTTCCACTGTAAACCTTCACTTGTGAAAAATTCATTGACTTTAAGATATATATATATATATATATATATATCTTCCCCTCTTGTGTGCCATTCCAAAAGGCCACAAAACAATAATTCCTCACATAGGCTTCCTTCATAAACACATCTTACATAAAGCAACAACTGCACCATGTTAGAAATATCAGTTGTTTCATCTAACCTAATTGAAACTTTGGGCTGCCCTTAAGCCTGGTAATAAGCTGCTGGAATTGGTCATTACTAATTTCAGAAATTCTTTTGGAAACCGTATCATTTGATAAAGGAATTTTACAAATTTCATCCCCATACTTTTTCCCATGAACTATTTCTGACATTTTAATATCAGCAGGTAACACGAGATCTCTTATTACGTAGGGCTTTTTAGTTTTTGCAATTAAATAAGATGCAAGTAAATACTTTTCCTTTACAGTAAAAAACTTCTCAAAACATTGTTTTTTCTTTATTTGGAGATTTTAAAAGTGATGAAAAATATTTCTTTGGTTTATTGCAGTATGCTGCATGCTTAGTATTGATGTCATTTTAGTTTGGCTAGTTTCATGCTCCCCACAGCCAAAACTTCATTACAAATTAAGAAAAGAGGTTTTTCCACAGAACCATCATTATTAGAAGTAAATCCATATTACAAAAATGATTCAACATATTTTCTTTTTCTTGTCAATTTAGGTATACTACAACCTGGTGGTGAAGGTTCTGCCACATTGTCATCAGTATTTTTATCCTTTCTGTCTAAATTTTGCCACTTATCCATAACTGGAAAATATTTTTCTCCTAAAATATAAATATCGTTAATAATTTCTCAAATAAATACTAGCTTTAGTTTGTGAAACTACATTTGTTTGTGCTTAATTTTTAAAAATTGATGTTCACCCTTACATACACATACAGCAGTATAGTAGAGAAATATTATTAAAAGGCTTTTGTCTTTACTTGCTGCAATTAAATACTTATGTCTTTGTAAAAGAAAGAGATAACGGCAATTGTTCAAATCATTCCTTTTCGTTTGTTTGTTTTTTCACCTACTATTTCCCAATGTTCCTTTTTTCTTTTTGCCGCCCATAGAACCTTCTCCTATAATTGTAATAGTACACTGTCCAAAGAGGGCTATCTTCCTGATAGAGGTCAATGGCCTGTCTGGTGAGTCTGCTTCTCAATGTCAGCTAAGGAGGAATGGAGGGGACTGCTCTGGCATTTTATGCTTGTCTACTTACTATTCAGTGAGAAAAAGGCTTTTTGGTTGGCTGCTAAGCCATGTTAAGCCAATACATCAGCTGGTCACACTGGTTTTTCTTTCCTTGTGGTGAGCAAGGCAACAGATCAAACATTCTAACACAGTACAATCCAAACATATACTAATTTGATACTTACATGCTGAGGAATGACAATAGGAAAATATTAAAAGTCTTTATTGTCTGTAATTAAACTATTCTCTTTCTATAAGAGCAGAAAACTTTGTATGTACATTAAAAACACTGCAATTCATAACATAAAATAGTCTTGAATCTGAGTCAAGGTGTTTCTGGCAGCATTCTTTGGCCTTGCACAGTGTGATGGTATGTTCAGTGCAAAGTGCGCATGTTGTGTGTTCAGAACTGAGGCTGCAGTGAAGTCGCATGATGCAACACAGGTAAGCACTGACAGAAACACCTTGGATTCATTATGTGTTTGATTCTGAATTAATTTTTGCATGTTGCATGTTCAAAAACCTTTTACTGTTGCCAAATTTTTCGCAACCCCCACATTCAGTTACATGACCCCATATGGGGTCTCTACCCAGGCGCTGATCTATACCACTGATACATATAATTGGTTATGGGGCAGCTAGGGGACACAGTGGATAGAATGCCAGGCCCGGAGTCAAAAAGACTCATCTTCCTGAGTTCAAATCCTGGTTCAGACACCTACTAGCTGTATGACTCTGGGCAAGTCACTTAGCCCTGTTTGCCTTAATTTTCTCATCTGTAAAATGAGCTGGAAAAGGAAATGGCAAACCACTCCAATATCTTTTCCAAGAAAACCTCAAATGGGGTCACAAAAAGTTGGACATGCCTGAACAACAAGAAGAAATAGAATTGGTTAAGGCTCTATCATCAATCACCAGAATTAGAATCCTTCCGTGGAGAAGATACTTAGAGCAGTTCACATTCAAATTCAAAACAGGGTTTAGGATAAAAGTTCCTAGTTGTGATACTTTATTATGTTATGATTAGCAATTTTTCCTCCCTAGTAGTTAATTTAGAGTTAAAAGCCACTAAGGCAAAAATTCCTTTTTCCCTAATATACTCCCTGCTTACCTTATCCCCATCCATCTCAGCCCTACACCTCTCAGTTTCCATTCTGTGGAAATTCTGTTCTACTGTTAACAAATTGCCCATATTATCCCTCTTCCCATGACATTCCTTCCATCTGGCACTTGTAGAAATCTGGATTGCTCCCAGAAGCCAATGATTCTCTTTTTCCTCAAGGAGTTCAATGCCAACCTCAGGCTTCTCTTTCCCAATCATTGCCCTCCTACATTTTCTCAAACACCTTAGGCCTCCCGGTTCACCAGCTTCCTGGATTCCCAAAGTCTGAATCTTCACTCTAACCCAGCCACATACTGGATATTTTTTCATATCCTTGATCTTACAATCACCTGTAACTATTTACCCTCTTTGATACAAAACTCCCAAATTCCTTACTCTGATCATAATCTCTTATACTTTCATCTCTTACTTTCTCACACCTATACTCCTACTAAACCTTTTTTCCCCCACATTGGGAAGCCCCATTAAGATTTTTGATGAATACCTGTTAAGGCTTAGGAAAGATACAAAAGAAAGAGGGTTTTTTTTTGGAGGAGTAGACAATAAACAATAGAGCTAGGAAGAAAAGATATGAAATAATGTAGGCTACAAGACAAGTAAATGTTAAATTGTTTCTGTAAAACACATCATCAAAAAGCCACTAGTAAGGCAAAGAGGAAAGCAGCTTATTAAAACTCTAGTTTCCCCAACCCTTTCCCCTCATTCTTTGGAGAAAGAGGTTTTAGTTAACCACACTTGATCTTCTTCCATTAATAATACCTTAAAAAATCTGCCACATCTCCAAAGGCTTCAGAGAATCCTCTTCTTCATGCCAAGGGCAGTAGCTGAGCCCTAAGGACTAGTGGAATGGTCCCTTAGCTTCCACTTTTACTTTCATTGGGTTTCTGTGGAGGTTCTTTGAAGAGCTTGTGTTTTTGTCTCAGTTCTTCCATTTTTGAGGCCAAAGTCATCATGTAGTCATTACTACCCAAATAGACTTCCTCTAGTTGCTGTCCTACTATTTCCTCTAGCATCTTAGAGGTATTAATGACTTCTCCGATGGCTTTCAGCTCGTGGCTGTAGAGAGTCAGAGTCTCACACACAGACTGAAATAACAGGCCACACTGGTTGATGTTAGGTGCTGAGGACTTACTATATTTCCTCCATTCAGTTTCAAAGATATGGATAAAGGCAGTGATCAGCTGATGGAAATCTGAGAGAGTCAGTGTCAGATGGAAAGCCTGGCCCATCCTGCTGCTGCCTTTGCTGGACATTTTCCCTTGGAGGGCTGAAAACTCTCTGAGCTCCTCAAGTATTTCAGTGAGCTCATTCAGTTTCTTAGAAAGTTTTTTCACCTTGCTCTCCCTTGACTTCAGATTTTCTTTTGTCTTCAAGTGGCACTCAATGTCCAGTGGCAAAGGGCTCAGTTTGGGGTCTAGAATCTCCTGGAGACGTGAACTGAACAACTTCTGTAGCAGCTTCTCATTTTCCTTCATTAAATTGTTGAAATTCTCTACACTCGAGAAGTTGGCACATCCAGGACCCAGACTTCTGACGAGATCCAGTAACTGTTTAAAGAAATAGAGCTGCCTTTTCACATTGCCATAACCTTTGATGAGATTCTGGTCATTTGGTCCACACAACATCAGTTCATGACCTATTCTCATCAGCTCTAATATTTTCTCTTCAGCTTGAGGGTCCTGAAAAGTAGCAAATAACTCTTCAAAGGGAGGATACAGTCTTCCAAACAACCATTCCAGAATAGTCAAACGGTAAATTGAAGGGCTACATAGCAGCTGTTTCATTGTTTTCAGTTCGGTGATATAAAGACCTTCAAGGAAGGGACACTTTATGTCCATAAGACTCTTGAACACATCCAGAACCTCCAAAGTAAGGCAAGGGTCCTCCTCTTCATCTTTTCCTAATTCCTCTACTTCATCTCCCCACTCCTCTTCTGCTGTCTTTTTTTCTTCTCCCCCTTCTTTCTTCTTCTCCTTTTTCCTGTTTATTTGCCAGGCAGCCACCTTCTCACTACTACTGCCCCAACTGTATGGCCAGGACTCTGCCATCTGCCTGGACTCCCTACCCGGCCTAGGATTCTATTGGCAGGACTGGCCATTTCATTGGTTGGAGTGAATACTCATTGTGACCAAGTCACTCTACCTCTCCTTACTTTCCCATTCTATCCCTCTGCTTTGGACTAATTTTCTTCCCTTCACAACCTTCACAAGAGTTAAAACTGATGATCTTTACACTTAGCTTGAATTTTGCCACTCATGCCTTTACAAACACCAATTCTGTGATACTGCATTTTGAAGATTCATACAACCATGTTCGCTTGACAAATTCATGTTATTTCATATTAGAGTTCAACTGGGTCTTCACTGCTATAGACCAATCCAGGAGTGGGGAACCTGGGGCCTCAAGGCCACATGTGGTCCTCAAGTGTGGCCCTTTGACTGAATCCAAACTTCACAGAACAAATCCCCTTAATAAAAGAATTTGTTCTGTAAAACTTGGACTAAGTCAAAAGGCCACCTCCAAGGATCTAGAAGGCCACATGTGGCCTCCAGGCCTCAGGTTCTCCACCCCTGGGCTAATCCTTTTGATAGGGATGGGATCTGAACCCCTAAAAGGAAAAAACCATGTCTTTGGGATCTGGACCCCCAAAAGGAAAAATCCTGGACTTTCCCACCTGGCCACATCTCTGACCTTCACCTGAGGCTGTAATCCTATCAAATGACCTTTCATTGTGGCTACACCCAATCCCCCAATTCTGTTCTATTACCTCCCAATTGCCTTGGCCACTTCCCACCCTTAATCCTATCTAGATTCCATTCTCTCTAGGCCACCTAGTGCAGGTCCCTGGTGTTCTGTTCACCCCGGCTTACTGGCCACTCCCATCCAGATCTTCCATAGACCCCTCCTCTACTCACCCCAAACTACTTGGCCACTGCTACGTCCCTCCCACAGTCTTTCTGTATATAAGGTCCATCTTGTCTCCATTAAGGCGCTCAGATTCTTATAATCTAGCCAATAGCTCAGGAATGCTCAGATTCCTTAAGAGTCTGGCCAATATGGCGGATCTTTAATAAACCTTGTCTTTGGCTGAAAGAAAGCTTGGGTCAAATTCTTTTGGGTAGGACCTGTGTGTTGTGATTTTGGGATCCCAGTGATGAGGATGGGATCTAGATCCCAAAAAGGAAAAACCCTGGATTTTCCCACATGGCCAAATCTTTGGTGTTCCCCTGAGGCTGTAATCCCATCAACTAGCCTTTCATTGTGGCTATGCCCAATCTGTTACCCTTAACCTAGCCTAGACCTCCCTATGCCCATGGACATTTCCCACCCTTAATCCTATCTAGGCTCCATTCTCCCTTGGCCACTCCTGGAGTTCTATTACCTCATAGATGACTTGGCCACTCCTAGGTCCCTCCCATAGTCTTTCTGTATATAAGGTCCATCTCATCTCCATTAAGATGCTGGGATTCTTATAATCTAGCCACTGCTCAGATTCTTAGAATCTAGCCAATATTTGCAGACTCCTAGCTTCCTCAAGGGTCTGGCAATATGGCAGATCTTTAATAAACCTTGTTTTTGGCAGAAAGGAGGCGTGGGTTGAATTCTTTCGGGTAGGACCTGCGTGTCGTGATTTTGGGGTTCCAGCATCCCTAACCTCTAGACCTAATCACCTTGAGGCAGGGACAGCTCTATGCCCCTTGCCAGTAGGAAGTAGTTTCAGAAGCCGAGACCTTTGCCCTTTACTCCAAAAGAATTTGGGTCCCATTGTTCTTAGGGGGGAATGATGAGGATGGGATCTAGACCCCAGAAAAGGAAAAACCCTGGACTTTCTCACATGGCCAAATCTCTGGCGTTCCGCTAAGGCTGTGGTCCCATTGGCTGGCCTTTCATTGTGGTTATGCCCAATCTGTTACCCTTAACCTAGCCTAGACCTCCCTATGTCCCCCAGCCACTTCCCACCCTTGGTCCTATCTAGGCTCCATTCTCCCTTGGCCACCTCTGGAGTTCTATTACCTCATAGACTACTTGGCCACTCCTGGATCCCTCCCATAGTCTTTCTATATATAAGGTCCATCTTGTCTCCATTAAGATGCTGGAATTCTTATAATCTAGCCACTGCTGGAATTTTTATAATTTAGCCACTGCTCAGATTTTTACAATCTAGCCAATAGCTCATAGATACTCAGATTCCTTAAGACTCTGGCTAATGTGGCAGATCTTTAATAAACCTTGTTTTTGGCTGAAAGAAGGCTTGGGTCAAAATCACGTATCGTGATCTTGGGGTCCCAGCACCCCTAACCTCTAGACCTCATCACAACCATTGGGTTTTCTTTCTGTTTGGGCATCTTGTGTCCTGTATTTATACTTGTAATGTTCCCCTGAGGCTGGGGAAAAGCTCTCAAAGAGAGTGATTGCTGAAGTAATCAAAATGACAGAACATTCTTGAGATTTTCCCCTTCCTTAAGGGCATAGGTATGGCCTATAGGCTATCCTGCTGCTTGTTTTGTATATTCCTTGAGCTAAGGTTCTTACATTTTAAAACAGACTGTTGTATTTAAAATTTTGTACTAAATAAAGTTTTATATTTAAAAATGTAAAAACCATTCTGGTCTACCAGGAGTAGTTTGGCAGTCCTTGTTAGTACAGATTTCAGAAACAGCAACTCTACCCCCTTGGAAATCCCTCTGGATCTGTTGCTTCATCTGTAAAATGAGATCTGACATTTTATGATTCTAAGTCAAACCAAAGTATTTTGGACAGTGGGAATTTCAGTGCAGAAAACATGAGCAGAAGAATTCTCATTTTAGATTAAGGATGACAGAAAGCAGAAAGTCTGTAGGCACTTACTGCTGCAAGTGTCCTCCAAGTTTAAGACTGCTCTTTCAAAAATCGCCTTTTCAGCAAGGGAAGCTAGAAATCAAATCTTGACTGAGATAATTTAGCCTGGCCCATTTTATAGATGAGGAAACTGAGGTTCAAAGAGGATGACAAACCCTGAGTCTAACAGACAGTTAGATCCAGAACGAGAACCCAAATCACATTACTCCCTCCTATTACTCTTTTAACCCCTCTCAAAATGTTTTTAAATAATTGAAGGACATATTAAATTTTGGTGAGAGATTAGTGAAAATTAAGATTTATTTTCCTGGTCCAAGTTGAATGATCATTTCGAGTCTGTGGCCCATAGGTCAAGAACTCCTGCCCTGAAATGTAAATCCCTAGGCTAGTGGCACATATACTACCTCCTTATCTTATCTTAGGTTTGACACAACAAAGCTACATACTACTTGGATTATAAAATCATTGAGTTAAGAAATCAAAACTACTTAAAAGCAGTGGCTGTAAGGCACAGCGATAGCCTGCAAAGAGAACTCTGATAAGCTCTACTGCTTTGGCCAACTTGTTACTGAACCCATCATTAAACAGGGAACAGTGTCATGACTCACAAAACGGTTAGAATTCAGAGTAACTGAATTCACTGCTGTGTTGTACTAAGCTTTAACATTATGCTTATTTAAGAGGACTAGACTCTGCTGTGGGGCTGAAAGAAGAGGTGCGAGAGAGACACTGAGGACCTGGGGGATTAGGAAGCTTGACTGTTCAGTCCCTGCTCTGCCGCTTACCAGCTTGGATAATCTGATTGTTCAGATAACGACTTCAGAGCTGGAAGAGACTATAGAAAAATGGTCCAAAAGAAAAAAAAAGTCCAAACTTTTCATTTTGCAGATGAAGAAACTAAGGTCCAGAAATTATGACTTGCTCAAAGTCCCATAGCTTTTTAGTCAAAGAGAAGGGTCTAGATCAGGAGTGGGGAACCTGTGGGCTAGAGGCCACACAGGTTCTCCACCTCTGGTAGAACAATAGTTACTAAGCTTCAGTCCAATATTTCCTGTTAGAAGAAACACCATGCTTTGGGGCCAATTTCCTTATCTTTAAAGCAAGGATTACATTAGATTAAATACTTTTTATTCAAATATTAAAATTCTATGGTACATTCTGGTAGGTCTAAAGAAACCCTGTCTGACAAAAAAGTATATGAGGAACATCTTTTAAAATCACAAGCACAAAAAAAAAATCATAAGCACATGAAATCAAAACAATTATAAGGAATTATTTTGCCCAATTATATACCAACAAATTTAACAATTTAAGTGAAATGCAAGAATATTTACAAAAATATAAACTACCTAGATTAATAGAAGAAGAAATAGAATATCTAAATAAACCTATTTTAGAAAAAGAAATTGAGAGCTAGCTAGGTGGCACAGTAGATAGAGCAATAGCCCTGGAGTCAGGAAGACCTGAGTTCAAATCCAGCTTCAGGCCCTTACTAGCTGTGTGACCTTTGGCAAGTCACTTAATCCTACCTGCAAGAAAAGAAAAGAAAAAACTTCCTACGAAAAAAAGCATCAGGACCAGATGCATTTACAAATAAATTCTACAAAACATTTAAAGAACAACTAATTCCAATATTAAATAATAAGCAAAGAAGGAGTCCTACCAAATTACTTTTATGAAGCAAATATGGCTCTGATACAGAAACCAGGAAGAGCAAAAACAGAGAAAGAAAATTATAGAACAATTAAGTTAATTAATATGGGGGCAGCTAGGTGTCAAAGTGGATAGAGCACCGGCCCTGGAGTCAGGAGGACCTGAGTTCAAATACGGTCCAGACACTTGACACTTACTAGCTGTGTGACCCTGGGCAAGTCGTTTAGCCCCAATTGCCTCACCAAAAAAAAAAAAGTTAATTAATATGGATGCAAAAATCCTGAACAAAATACTAGCTAGGAGTCTACAACAACATATTACAAAGATTATACATTGTGACCAAGTGGGCTTTATAGCAGGAATGCAAGGATGATTTAACATAAGAAAAAATATTAACATAATTGATTATGTCAGTAACAAAAGTAACAAAAATTATGTGATGATATCAATAGATACAGAAAAAGCTTTTGATAAAATACAATGCTTCTTTTTATTAAAAAAACACTTGAAAGCATAGGTTTAAAGGGATTTTCCCTTAAAATGATAAGAAGCATCTACCTAAAACTATCAGCAAACATTATTTGTAATGGGGTTAAGCTAGAAGCC